CAGAGCTCTGACCTTATTCTGCATCAAAGAATCCATACCGGGGAGAAACCATATCCATGCGATCAGTGTAGCAAAAGTTTCAGTCAGAACTCAGACCTTATTAAACATCGAAGGATCCACACTGGAGAGAAACCCTATAAATGTAATGAATGTGGGAAGGCTTTTAATCAGAGTTCAGTCCTTATTCTGCATCAGAGAATCCACACTGGAGAGAAACCCTACCCGTGTACTCAGTGTAGCAAAACGTTCAGCAGACTTTCAGATCTTATTAACCATCAGCGAATTCACACTGGAGAGAAGCCTTACCCATGTGACCAGTGCAGTAAAATGTTTAGTCGAAGATCAGATCTTGTGAAGCATCATAGGATTCATACGGGTGAGAAACCATATGAATGTGATGAATGTGGGAAAACCTTCAGTCAGAGCTCCAACCTTATTCTACATCAGAGAATCCACACAGGAGAGAAACCCTATCCGTGTAGTAATTGTTCTAAAAGCTTTAGTCGTCGTTCAGACCTTGTTAAACATCAAAGAATCCACACTGGAGAGAAACCATATGCATGTAATCAGTGCAATAAAAGTTTTAGTCAAAGCTCAGACCTCACTAAACATCAGAGAGTGCACTCTGGGGAGAAGCCCTATCATTGCAACAGTTGTGAGAAAGCCTTCAGTCAGAGTTCTGACCTTATTCTTCATCAGAGAATTCACACTGGAGAAAAACCATACCCATGCACACAGTGCAGCAAAAGTTTCAGTCAGAACTCGGACCTTATCAAACACCAGAGAACCCACACCGGGGAGAAACCATACAAATGTAATGAGTGTGGGAAGGCCTTCAGTCAGTGCTCAGCTCTGAGCCTACATCAGAGGATCCACACTGGGGAGAAACCGTATTGGTGTGATCAGTGTGGCAAAAGCTTTAGTCGGCGCTCTGATCTCATTAACCATCAAAGAATCCACAATGATGAAAAGCCATATAGATGTGATACCTTTGGGAAAGCCTTTGGCACATGCACTGATGTTACTGAACATCAGAGAATCCACACTGGGGAGGAACCCCACCCGTGCATTCAGTGCAGCAGAAGTTTTACCCAAATCTCTGAACTTATTGATCATGAGAAAGTCCATTCTGGCCAAGACAATCTAATTGTGACGAATGTGAGAAAACCTTTAGTGTACACACCAACTTTATTCAATACCAGAGACACTATACTGGAAAAAAGCTTATGAATGCTATTGATGATTATGAAAAAGGTTTTAATCAATGCTCAACTCTTGTACTACATTTAGAAGGGAAAAAAAAACCACCCACAGTGGAGAGAAAAACATTGATTCAATTGTTATAATGAAGGTTTAACTCAGAGAAATTCTGAGGAGGAATCTTGTGTGTTGTGGGAAAATGTTCAATGTGAATAAAAATTATACCAAATGTCAGCAACAATGGAAATTTGTATCTGCTATAATGTGAGAAAATCTCTAGTCTTATCAAATACAACCTATGAGAGTTTTAAAAGTATTAAGAACCTTACCAGATATTGTAAAAATCCGTGTTGTGGGTGTGCAATCAGAACTTAGAAATATATTAGTATTATAACCTCTAATCTTTAGTGAGCCCAAATTACCTATCACATATCAGCGAAGTTATTTTAGATAATGTAGGGAAAACTTAAAATTCCTTCCATATTTAATTGGCACTCACTCTGATATCACACTTATCTGCTGACATCTGGAGAGTTCTACCTTATGTTAATGCTAGTTATCATTAAATCCAGTGTATGAACATATGATGCTATTCTGATACTAAATTTATTAACTACACAACTCCAGTGCTCCATTTTCTACAAAAAAAAAAGTTTTTGTGGCCTAGTTTTGGTTTTCCTAGTGAGAAGGAGTTTTTAAGTTCCTGTGATGTACATAGCAAATATGGATTTATTTTGCTTTCAATAATGAAGCCTATAAGCTTTAGTGGTTTGAAATAATTTCTTCAATACTACCATTTAATCACAGCTTAAATATGTGAAACAATAAAAAAATATTTCATATGTCAAAGTATGATGATTTCTCTACTACATTATTTATCTTGTCATCTATAAATTGAACAAAAGTATAGTTAAAGTAATACCCCATGACTAATTTGTGTAGCATATTCTGTTTAAAAATAAAAATACCTTCCCACTGATTTTTTAAGTGGCAACATTCATCAGACATTTGTTGATTTCTGACATGCCTATTAATAATAGGCTGCATATATGCAACGTTTTCTACTGAAAAATAAAGGTTTTTTTTAATTCTAATTGTCTTTCTGGTATTAACTATTTTTTAAAATTATGCTATCATATACTTTGAATATCCTCTATAATTATCTAATTAATATTTCAATCCAATAGGAATTGTCAAATTACTATGTGCAAGGCATTTGTTAAGGCTTTATAGTCTACACAAAGTTTGTATACAAAGGTTTGTGTACTGTCCCAACAAAGCATGTATTATTTAAGGACTGATGTCTATACAGAAAACATATAGCTCAATGTAATCATAAAGGTAAACAAGATACTTACTAGTAGCCCTAGCCAGTTTGGCTCAGCAGATGGAGCGTTGGCCTGCGGACCAAAGGGTCACGGGTTCAATTCTGGTCAAAGGCAGTTACCTTGGTTGCAGGCTCCTCCCCAGCCCAGGCCCTGGTTGGGGCTCGTGCAGGAGGCAACCAACTGATGTGTTTTTCTCACATCGATGTTTCTGTCTTTCCCTTTCTCTTCCACTTTCCCTAAAAATCAATGGAAAAATATTCTCGGTTGAGGATTAACAACAAAAAGATACTTATGAGAGCTCTGAGGAGATAGGGTTCAATTCTGATTGGAAAGCTTTGTGGAGCTCCTGAGACTTGAAGTTTGAAGGATGAGGTAGGGGCATAAAGGCAGGGAGAGAATAGTCAACAAAGGCACAGAAGCAAGGAAGTATAAGAAATGATGTGGAGTGTAGGGCTTAGTCATTAATTCACTCAAACATTCAGTGTCAGGCACTGTACTAAGTGCTGCCGAAGGAAAAAAATAAAAGGTTCCTGCCGTCAAACTTACATGTTATGGAAATAATAACTGGGACATGTACTTAAAAGAATAAGAATAAACTGGAATTAAAAATGAAGTAAAAGAAAAGACAGTTGAGGAGTGTGATAGTAAACAGGCACTTAAACTTCCCAGGGTTTAGTGTCATCTAAAAAGTGTTAGGTGGTGGGAGTAGATACATTTCTGCATTTTGCTCTCAAGACAATGGAAAGCCATTAGGATCTTTGAACCAGGGAATGGCATGCTCACTTCCCTGCTTTATGAAGTCTAAGATAAAGAGGAGGAAAGAGAGCAAAAAGGAAAACTATTTGAAAGTCTGGAAATAAAATCATGAGGCCCAGAAGTAGAGGAGCTTGAAGATACTGACATGATAAGTTGAGAAATAAGTAGGGAGACAAGTATACAATCAATTATTGTCTGTTCTTTGGAGAATTTTTAAAAAGTGAAAAAGAAAAATAGGGTAATCTATTTTATATTGAAGTTTAGCAATCTCTCTAGAGTGAAATGTTAAAAGCCAACTGTTTACTACACATTTCTCCTGTGTCCTACTGGTAAACTTATGTTCATGAATTTAACATATATCCAATGATGTTGTCCTCCTCAATTCCCTATCCTGGTGAATTGCTCTACTAAACATTCTTGCTATCCAGATAAAATAACATAGCTATCCTACACTCCTCATCCTCCCTGTTTTCTAAATATATTAGTCCAGAAAAATGAGTACATACCAGCATGGAGACTGAGAAGCATCCGTGAGGTAAGAAAAAACCAAAGTGTTGTTCTTTAAGCTAAAGGAAATTGTCTATTATGCAAATATTGCTGATGGCTCAAGCAATATCCCTAATAAATGAGTATTAGAATCAGCAGGATAGAGATCAGCAAAATTGACTAGAACTTTTTACATAAATTTGTATGATATAATGTCACACCTCTCATTCCTGATATTTTTTTTTCCCCCTGATCAGTCTGGCTAGCTTATCAGTTAGATTAATCTTTTTTAAAAAACTAGCTTTTTTATTTCTAAACCTTTTCTATTATTATATTACCTTCAAAAATGTGTAAAATTTTTTTTGAAACTTCAAAGAAACAAGACACTTTGTTCTCTTCTCAGCAACTAATCATGTTGCTTCTTTCCTCATTCAAAGTTCAATAATAGTCCCACCACTGGCTAGCCAGGTCTCCCAGGATCTGGCCCTGCCCATAACCCTCACCCCACTTTTCTCTCTGGCCTCATCCACTACCTCCCCCCAAGTTCATTCTGCTAGAGACACACTGGCCTCCTTGCTGTTTCCTGAACAAATGACGCACTGTTCCCACATCAAGTCCTTGGTACCGTGTTCACATGCCTGGAACATCTTTCCTCGGGTCCACTTGCTTTCTTATCCTCACTGGTCTTTCATCGGCTCTCGTGTTCTCAGTGAACCCTTCCCTGAACGACCTTCCTACATGGCAGTCCTTTCCGCCTGGATTTTCGTATCCCTCTTTCCGGATTTATTTTCTCCTTATTCACCAAGACAGAAAATGTTTTTTGGTGTTTTTTCTTTTTACTGCCACATGTAGTCTCCACACACAAGGGCAACAAATGTAAACCCCAGAAGTCTTGGGCTTGAGCAATTTCAAATCCACAGGCCTGAGAATCAAATGAGGGCCCCCAAGAACCATGGGCGGGGGATGGAGGTCATGGGGAGGGACTCCTAGGGTCACATACAGAAAACACTTGAGGGGAATGCCCCTAGAATAATGGCTGCAGCATAGACAGCAGCGTCATCCCTTCTCAGTCCTGGAATGAAGGATAGGAAGAGAGATTCCTGAAGATATGACCATGTGAAAAGCTTTTCATCCACAGACATTCCCAACATCAACGTTCAGTTATTACTGGTACGTAAAGTATATGTGTGTGGTGTGTGGTATAGAGAGTGCAGTAACAAATGGCAGAGGTTGACAGAGGCCAAATCATGGAAGGCCATGCTAATTTTATTAACCTATATAGTGCATAAAGTGTAAGTCTAGAATTTAAAATTACAGAGGTTTCTACAAATCAATAAGAAAATACAAATAACCTATATTAATCAGGACAGAAACCCAATTCAATTATCTTAAACAGGAAAGGGACTTTATTGGCTCACAAAACGTTAAAGTCCGGAGGTAGGGCAGGCTTTAGGCACAGCTGGATCGAGGGCCTCCAGAAAAATGACATCAGAACTCAGTTCTCTGTCCTTTCTGCTAGCCTCTGAGCTTCTCCTCACTCTCCCCACATGGTACACACAGTCCTTAGTTCCTGGGATCTCCGTGAGCCGTGTTGCCAATCGTTTCCGCAGTTTGCTGAGAGCTCTCTGTAGCCTGGCTTGAGTTACACACCTATGCTTTCATCACTGCAGCTACGGTAAGGAGCTGCAGAACTCAGGGAGGCCAGGCCTGGTCATGTGTTCAGCTAAGCCATAGGGAATGGGTTCCCCGCAATAAATAAGGGCTCTGTTACCAGAAGATGGGAAAAGAGATGCTGTACAAACAAAAACAACATACACCCACACATAACCCAATTGGAAAGCAGGTAGAGGATGTGAACAAACAATCCATGGTAAAACTATAAATGGCCAATAAACATGAAAATAACCTCAACCTTATCATTAATCAGGGAAATATAATTAAAGATTTTTTGTTGTTGTTGTTCAGATAAAATAAGTGCAGGTAAGGCCATATGGGGAAATGAGCATTTTCCCTACAGTTGGTAAAATATAAAGTTATGAAGGCCTTTAGGAAGGCTAAGGTGAGCCTATCAGGGAATGCACCGCTGATGTAATAATCCACCTTAGACAACGCCATCCTAAAGGAATATTCACACACATGCACAAAGATATATGAAAAAAGATTTACTTTGGCAATGTAAGAGCAGGAGAAAAAAATACCTTCAGTCATGGTATTTTCATAATATTGAATCCTATTCAACCATTGAAGAAATTTAAAGACCTCAGGAATAGGTTTTTTGAGACCAAAAAAAGGCAAGCTGTAGAACAGTACATATATGATCCTGTTTATGTAAAAATAGCTTTTATATGCTTATGTACATTCAAATGGAGATGTATGGAAAGGGGACTAGATAGATGTATACTAAACTCTGGGAAGTGGAATGTGATTGAAGTGCTGGAGAAAGTCTTTGTTCTTATACCTGTATCATTTATGCTTTATACATTGAGCTAGTAGTCATTTATACTTTCATAATTTTAAAAAAAGAAACATGGGCAAACACAATTTATAACAGGAAATGCAAATGGCCAATAAACATAGGAAGAAATGTTCCTCATTAATTATCAAAGGAAGGAAATACATTTTGCCTATCAGATTGGTGTGGGTGCCCACAGGCACTCTTATTATTGTAAACTGCTGTAAATTGGTAATCTTTTGGGTGGCATCTCTTAAAATGCTGAATGTGCACATTCTCTGACCCAAAAAATCCACTTGTATTTATCCTACAGAAATACCCACACAAGCAGCAAAATATATGCACAAGGATCTTAACCATACCTTTATGTATAATAATTTAAAAAAAGAACGAAATTATCCAGGGGTTGATTAAATAAATAACAGTATATTCATGCAATGGAACAGTATTTGTAGCCATGAAAAACAATGTCTATATCAAATTGGGAAGGAGGGGAGACAAATTTCAGAGCAGTACATGTAAAATGGGGATATGTACCTACCTCATATGGTTGCTGTGAGGATTAAGAGTTAATCCATGGTAAAGCACTTCAAAACAGTGCCTTTATAGGAACCACAAGTGTCGGCTATGAACACATTTTTGCTTAAACTTGTATATGCCTAAGTCTGGAAGAATAACAGACCAAGTAATTATTACTTCTGAGTAAGACTATGAGAAAGAATGTTCTTTTTCACTTCATATTCTGTACTATAAAAAATCTTAATGAGTGAATTTAATAGTTTTCATATTTGTTAACTATAAAAGATAAAAACCTCTGAACCATAAAAGATAAAATCTAAAATCAAGGTTTAACAGCCACTGTTCATGGCATTGTGGAAAAATTGATGTCTGTGAAGTTCACAGAACTAGATTTGAGTGTTAGCTCTACTTGGCCACATGCAAGTCACATGATCTCTGAATCCTGCTGTTTAGTCTACAAATCTAAGTGCGACAGGGAGTGTCTAATCTGATGCCTAGCATGCAGATTATTTCAATACATATAATCGTCCCTTCAACCTACATTAATGCAGTAGACATACTGCTAAATGATCAAGTGCCAACTGGGTGTGAATGTAGGGAGCTTAACCTCCAAGAAACCCAGAATTTACCAGTAATGAGCAAATGCTCAGTGGCTATTGGGTGTCAGCAGTCTGCATGCCATTAACACTGACTGCTTGTTTGCTAACCAAAAGTTGCCACTGCTTGACAACTGCCAGATCACCATTTCATCAGAGGCTGCGCAGCCCCAGAATTGCTATGATTATCTTCGTGGGTATAGATAAATGTATAGATAAAATCATAAATCACTCAATAGTTATTTTAGGTCGATTTATCCATTGGGGATATACCCTAATCAGAAACAGCAAGTACACCAACCACTTTCTTTTCCTGTGGACCATCACCCAGTCTTTTTGGATCCAGCCATTTCCCCACTGAGCCCTGCCGTAGCCTCAGAATGTTTTCTAAACAACCCATGGCTATGAGCTGGCAAGACAAACACTTAATTGCCAACTCTAACACTACTCTGTCTAAGCTCTCACATTATACCAAACATCTTTGGCCTTTAAGACAAATCTACCACTGAAGCTTCTTGGTATACAGAAAAGATATAAAATCGAAAAAAGCATGAAATGTCAACCACTGAGAGCTTGACCCCTTCTTACCTACTCTGATATTAAGAATCCTGTCATCCTAGCAGAATTCCAAATATGCCACCTCAAAGCCTACTTGGAAAGAAACCAGTTATCAATCAATCAATCAATCAATCTATCAACTCAAGATCACTGCATCTTAGAGCAGAGGAGTCCATACCTTTATTGGACATTGACATGTTTCCTCTCAGCTACAGAAAAAAAGACCCAAAGTCCCTACATTTTCTTGTATAACTTAAAATACATTATATCATTACTACATATTTATAGTTCAATAAACCTTAATCTATAAAGCACATTTCTTATAATTATCAGAAAACCTATAAACAAGCCCCATTCTGCCTCGCTTCTCCACCAGCTGGCCTTGCATGTATTACTATGCTTTTTAATAGGCTCATGCAAATTTTACCTTCCATTTTTAAAATTTAATCCAAGCACCAGTTGTAACCAAAATCTCTGGAACTATGAAATATTTATTCAAATGGGTCATTTTCCACACAATGATGCCCACTATAAGAAAGCCTGTTCTCATTTTCTATATTTTAACTTCCAGAGTTTTCCACTGAACAGTAGAACCACAGTACTTCAGATTCTCAGCCAAGGAGTATATAACCTTACTACTACAATGCATTACTTTCATACATTTATAAAAATGTGTTAAGACTTAAAACTTTTAAAAAATAGTTCAATCAATTCTGATAGTTAATAAACTAGTTGTTAATAACCTAGTCGTTTACTTTTTAAATAGAACAATCCATTCAACTTAACATGTAAGTACAACCTCAATGCTAATAGAGATTGATTAGTTTTATAAAACCTCCAAACTGTGATAGAATTTTAGACTCACCTCTGAGGAATGCTGGAGATGGTTAGGGTTAGCAGTTTGAGCTGTCTTCCTTTCCCCCAAATATAGCACCCTGGTAAGAGAACTATGGCTCCCCCAGGACTGCTCAGAAGGGGGCCAGAGGCTAACTCACAAGAAACCGCTTTGTACCAGTTCCCCGATAATATACAGTGGAAGAATCGCCTACCTACTGATGGTAGGGCTACAGTACCCAGCACAGTGCCTTGTCGGTAGAAAATGTTGAATGGATGAATGCGTGGCTGCTTTGTTAGCCTGGTGTTCAACCCTTTTTTACCAAAAAAATAAAATAACAAACCTGATACTTGTTACCCACCTGGTCAGGGATTTTTTCTATCCTTAACAAAAACGAAGGCAAAATAATAATGAATTGGATCTTCTAAAAGCCAAGATGGACTATTACCTTCACATTTGCCCTTCAACACTGTCATTGACTGCAAATTCTCTAGTGTTTTTTCTACTTTCATAGTTTATGATTCTTGTTTAGACTGTCCACTTTCTAATGATACAGAGAACATTATTTTCATTAGTGGGATGCCTCCAAGTTACAGACAGGATGCAGCATTTTTATTTTCCTACAGGCAGATAATTACATCTAGATAAATTCTTGATACATTTCAATTCTTGGGATCCAAATATTTTTACATCTTTCCCAATCTAGGCGTCCCATTCACTTTTTGATGTTTTATCACCATCACTTCTAATTTTACTTTGAAGCTTTAGTCACCTTTTATCTTCTATTTTCTGAAATGCATATCCAAATTGGGTAAAAACAAAAAACAAAAAACAGAAGAGTAAATTTTGAAAAGATGGTTTCGGTTTTCAGACTTCATAATCCCTATCTTGCCCTTTAATGTAGAAGGGAAGGGAATGTATCCTTGCAAAGAAGATTCCATGATCAACACAAAACTAATGTGTTTGTCTACAAAAGAAAATTGTAAGAGACAAAGAATCAAGTAGATCATTATTTGGAAAAAGATAGTAAGAATATAAACATCACATGAAAGATTCAGGCATTCACATGTAAATTAAGTTTAAAATTTCAGTTTCTAGGCAGGTATGACACCATTTCTTTCAAAACAAACTGATAATGTTGAGTGACAATGTTCTACATTTCCCAGTGGATTTTCTAACATTCTTATAGGGAGACCAAACTGTATCATTATGTATCATTCCATGTTTTTGTCTTCATTTCTGAAGAAATAGACCTGAGTGCTGACTTTCATTTTTAATTTCTTAAACTTTCACAACATTCAGCAGTTTTTCTGCATTGTGTCTTCGCTGATGTCTGAAAAGATTTGAGCTTTGACTATAGGATTTCCCACACTGAACACATTCGTAAGGTTTCTCCCCAGTATGGATTCTCTGATGATTAATAAGCCCAGAATTCTGGCTAAAGGCTTTTCCGCATTCAAGACATTTGTAAGGTTTTTCCCCAGTGTGGACTCTCTGGTGTTGCACAAGGATGGAACTTCTGCTGAATGCCTTCCCACATTCAACACATCCATAGGGTTTCTCTCCACTGTGGATCCTTTGATGAAGAATAAGGGCTGAGCCCTGACTGAAGTGTTTTCCACACTCATCACATATATGTTGTTTCTTTCTCGAAGGATTTCTCTTTCTTTCAAACCTGCCCTTAGGGAAACAGGCTTCTCCGTATTTAAAAATCTGAGGAACCCCCACACTGAGCGTGCCAGGAACTTCATGAGATTCCACTGCTGAAGGAATCTCGTGCTTTGGAGCTAACGCTCCATTTTCAGTCCTAGCATCATCATCTGAAACAAACAGAAAATGTAAATATCACTCATTTCCTATTCTGGGAGAAAGGAACCCAAAGGAAAAAAAAATAATGAATTTAAAGTAAATAAATAGCTTCCATTCATCTATAAACAATATTGTGAAAGCTGATGCTAAGGTTGCCACTCTCAAAAGAGAAAAATATGAAATGACTGATTGTGAGGCTAATCAGGTAAATAACATAATGAGGGATTAAACAGTTAAATCTGAACAGAAGTAGGAACAGGCTAGTGGGTTATAAATGGTAATGAGGGGGGGGAAAAAAGAACAGAAAGATGGTAGATTTTAAGACATTCAGGAGAGAGTGACACAACTAGGTCTGGATGGAACTTTGTAAGAACAAAAATAAAATAAGGCTGGCCATTAGAAAAGCATTATAATATCCTTTTGCTTTGAAAAAGGGAGAAATTACCTCAATACAATGGTATAAAAAATAAGCAATCAGTTAGAAAGCAGCTATTTCTGAAATGAGCAAGACAAGACAGGTCACAGCCAAGATTAGAACACAGGAGTCCTGACAGGGCTGAAGATGAGCTGGGAGCATCCTGTGTTAGTTCAGGTTGACACTCACAAATGCAACACGCCCTATAAATGCAAGTTTTCCTGTGAAGAACGCTGCCCTACTTGGTATTTCTCAGTATCTAGATGAGTCTTTCTTAGCCTCAGACAGATGTGCCTAGTGAAAGAACAGCCTAAATTATCAGCATGAGGTACCATCACATCTGCAGGCAGCTATTCGAGCAAGTTTCATTTACAACTTTCCTGATACACACACCCCAATAAACAAATGTTTTTAATTATTTAAAAATATATAAAATTTACAAGAAAAACAAAAGACTTTCCTGAAACTTGAAAAGTCAAGACGGTTACTACAGGGTGAGCAGCAGCACTCGGAAAGGTCCATAATGAATGACTGAGAAAGGGATAAAGTCAGGAGAAAAGGCTGACAAGGAGAGACTGAGAGGGTCTCTTGGACTCTTGGAGAGCAGAGGAGTGTACAGGTTACGTGGAGACAAATGGCACAGTAAGAAGAAAGTTCTCAAGTGAGGTAAAGACTAGATTGCTGAAATGAGGAATTAAAGAGATGAAAAGTATCCTAAAACTCAGGCAGGGGAGAAGTTTTCTACCCAAGAAAATGCCACCTCCAAGCCAATGATAATGGTTTGCAAACTGTATTGCACAGAACAATGTCCAGATTCCCAGCATACTTCAGCCCCACACCCGAAGTTCTGAATCGGAAAAATACATCTAGTAGTTTGAGGGATAAACTGGGTGGTATCAAAGTATACAAACAAGAATGTGGCATTAATTATAAAAAATATTGGGAAGGACTAATTTAATTTTTCTGTATTTAAAAGCTTATTATAGCCCTAGCCAGTTTGGCTCAACGGATAGAGCATCAGCCTACGGACTGAAGGGTCCCAGGTTCCGATTCCGGTCAAGGGCACATGCCCTGGTTGCGGGCTCGATCCCCAGTTGGGGGCGTGCAGGAGGCAGCCAATCAATGATTCTCTTTCATCATTGATGTTTCAATCTTTCCCTCTCCCTTCCTCTCAAAAATAATTTTAAAAAAAAAGAAGCTTCTTATAAAGCCGATCAATGATTCTCTTTCATCAGTGATGTTTCAATCTTTCCCTCTCCCTTCCTCTCTGTAATAATTAAAAAAAAAAAAAAGCTTCTTATAGCTAGAAAGCCCATTTTTGCATGAATACTTAGAGAAGATGAAGAGCTTTATCAAAATATCATTTTTACAAAAAAAAGAACCTTAGAAAAAAATGACTCTGGATAGGATGTTGAAAAAATAGGCGAAAATTTAGAAAGACCAGTAATAAACAACAAATAAACAGACCTGAAGAGGCCTCAGGTACGTTTACTGTACCAATCAGATGAGGCAGGAGACTGAACAGACATGGAACAGACGACCAATATGCACTATTGCATGCACAATGCACAGGGACCTGGGCTCTAGGCAGGCGCTGGCTCAGAGTGAGCAGACGCCAGCCAGCCTGAAACGGGCCGGCCACCCAGGAGGCGAAAGAGAAGAAAAGGCTGATAGTGATGTCTAGGAATAAAAGACCTGCGCTCAGCAAACTGTTATGAGAAAAGAACCAAGCTACAGGGTGTCCAGTCTGTGATGTCTAGGAATAAAAGACCTGCGCTCAGCAAACTAACGGTTATGAGAAAAGAACCAAGCTACAGGGTGCCCAGTCTAAGAACGAACACGAACACACACACACACACACACACACACACACACACACACAAAAGAGTAATAAGCAAAGGGTTCTAGACAGAAGCCCCCTACTGTCTCACCCTCCACCCCAGGGAAGCCTGGTCCTCACCGCAGTGCCTGAGGGAGTGCAGCTCCCAGGACGCCCACTTGAGCTGGTTTTCCACAGCATCGAGCTCCGAACTCGGTAATCCCTGCGCTTCTTCTTGAGATGCAATCTCCTCTACCAGCACCTCCCGCTTCCGCCGGCAGAGAGAAACCTGCGAATAAGATTGGGGTCAGTTGACACGGAGTTTAATGCGAATCGGAACTCACGGGACATGAGATACTGCATTGAGTGGAGGTAACTCAGCAGTTCTGCCTACTGGTGGGCCAGGGCCTCGGACCCAGGAGAGCGGCACAAGCAGGCTCACCGGCTGTCCAGGGTCATCCAGTTCACTCTCTAAATCCTCCAGCACCGCCACTGCCTCCTCTCCATTCTCTGGGTGATGCTCGCGAACCCAAGTCTGCAGCTCCTTGGGGAGGATGGCCACAAACTGCTCCAGCACGACCAGCTCCAGGATTTGTTCCTTCGTGTGTGTCTCGGGCCTGAGCCACAGGCGGCAAAGTTCTCGAAGCTGGCTGACAGCCTCGCGGGGCCCCGGGGAGTCCTGGTAGCCGAACTTCCGGAACCGCTGTCGGAAGACCTCCGGGTCGGGGAGATGGCTCCAGGGGATGCTCGATCCCTCTTCACCATCAGGATCCTCCTCCAACTTCACTCTCAGGATTTTGTCCTCCTCTTCTGGAGTTGGGATGATAAGTATCGAATCTTCTTCCCCTGACTGTGTAGACATCCTGATTTTAATGCTTCACAAAGAGACAATCGAGGCAGGCAGAATAGAGGCCTCAGGGAGATACCTCGTTTTCTTCACAGGCAATCCTAAGACACAAAAAATTAACAACGTAAACGACCAACTATCCTAAGAATTTGGATACGTGTTGATAAAGGAAGTAAAAACATTTCTTTTTACTGAATTAAAAATTCCAATCAATAAACTATACCAGAAGTTGGCAAACTACAGCTCATAGTCAAATCTGGCCTGCGGCCCATTTTTGTACACTTGTATTAAGAATAGTTTTCACTTTTTTTTTTTTAACCCTCACCTGAGGATATTTCTTCCATTGATTTCTAGAGAGAGTGGAAGGGCAATGCCCCAGCTGAGAGAGAGAGAGAGAGAGAGAGAGAGAGAGGGAGGAAGGAGAGAAACATTGACATTGACCTAAGAGAGACACATCGATTGGTTGCCTTCTGCACGTGCCCCCACAGGGTCAAACCCTCCACCCTTGGGTTCGCAGGCCAATGCTTCAACCACTGAGCTAAGCCGGCCAGGGCAGTTTTCACATGGTTGAAAAATCTCAAAAGAATACTTCGTGACATGTGAAAACGATAGAAAATGAAAACATCTGTCCCTAAATAATTTTATTTGTTCACAGTTCACGCTACAATGGCAGAGACGCATTGTTGCCACAGAGACCAGATGGCCTGAAAAACCGAGCATTTACTACCTGGCCTTGTAGTGTTTCCTAAATGCACCTGATCCTGAGACACTTTATTTGCAATTGAAGACTGGTGTTCCCTCCCACACTTAGGGCAACTCAAAAGCGAGGATATGCTTAAGAAAAAAAAACATTTTAAGGCAGAATCTGTTACGTTAAAAAGTATTTTTAAAATGTTTAAGAACCCCCTACCCTTAAAATAAACTGAAGAGTTAATTGTTCACTTGCTCAGGAACAGATAACGTAATATTGGGGAAAAAAAAAAAAAAAGCAGCCTCCAGTGCACACGATGCAAGCATTACTCAGTCACCCACACACCGTGACTGTTTAAATCTGCGACAGGCTTTAACCACAACCAATTCCATTCCGCACCGGGGGACTGTTTTCCCAGCTTCGACCTTCGGGGAGGCCCGGCGCTGTTCCCGACCATTCCCCGGGCACCTGCACAGTCATGCCCACGCCGCTGGGGACCGCACGTCTTAGAAACGCCTCTACTCGGGGCCCGGGGTCTGAAAACCGGTCGTGTCGGAAACCGACTGGAACCCCATCAAGATGAAGACCAGGAGCAGAAAAGACCTCATCAGACACGTGACACCCGGGAGTGTAATTCGCTCCTCTGGAGTGTGGTCTAGAAACAGGGTTTTAGCAGCACGTCGTCCCTGCCGACTCCTTCTTCCCTAGCAGTGGCTGCAGACTCCTATCCACACGGGATTTCTCTTCCTGAATTCTCACGGGAGGTGCGGGGAGGGCAGCCCGCGGTCCGATGATCGCCCTACCTGATCCCGCCGAGTG